TTCGTCCATCTGCCTGTTCTGCTCCCCACTCTGTGTCTGGTGGATACTCTCACTGCTCCTGCACCTCTGGGCTGTACTCCAGTTCTGTATTCATACATAAATAAATCTTAAAAAAAAAAAACCTGCTAATTGACTGAGATTCCTCTTAAGAAATCTTGATTCAGGTAATCCAGGGCAACGTCCAGCAATCTGTATGTATTTGAAAGTACAACAGGTGTTACATGAACAATACTTGGAAAACAATGCCAACAGCTTCTTAGTTGAGACAAATTCCAAGGCTTGCAGGGCAATCAGCTAAGGCATGAAGAAGTGGAAGCACCATGCATATTATATGCACAAATTAAAGTAGTGGGGGCTTCTTACTTGGTTCCAGTAGATTGTTCCCTTAAGGTATGTGGGTGTAGTATTCCTAATTTTTTTTGAGAGAATTCAGAACAATAATTGCTCATATCTTCCCAATTTTAAACACTGATTTTATTTTTTAAGCCTAGGTGAAACAAATGAATAAAAAGGTCTGTGATCTGCTTGCATGCAAGCTCTACTTTCTATTCTGCAGATGCTACTGATTTCATATGTTGCTTTTCTAGATCATTTACTTCTACTACCAAAGATAAGACCAGTGATTCCCTAGTAACAGTCCCAAGAAGCACATACTAAAAAACAGACAAGGCCCTGCCCATAGTCTTGCCTTCCCTAAATGATCTTTCTTCTGATCTGTCTAACCCTGGGGAGACTGTCCTGCAGGCTGGAGCCCTGACCTACCTTTTCAAACCAGCATATGTTGAGAGAGTGGAGTTTGTGATGTGACTGATTAATTCTTTCTGGACTAAAAATACTTTAACATTTGCATTTTAAATTATGCAAAGAAAAACTGGAATACTGGAATAATGGGCAGAGCTTCAAGATCCAAATTCAATGGAAGAGTGAACCACCACTTATTTTTTTTTTCTTTTTAACAAGGAGACACCATATTGGTATACACTATCCTTCACATAGGAGGAAGCAGAAAATGAAAGGGAAAAGAGGAGGTAGACAGAAGGGAAGCATAAATTGTGGCAGGCTTCCCACAGTGCTCAGAAGGGGGAAGTGATTATAATTTCTAGTACAAGAGCGTGGAAGTTGCTGAGAAAGAGAGGAAGATACATTTCTCCATACCTTTCTGTAACACTTTCCTTCCATTTTTCCAAATTTACCATTAAGTCTAGAAATCAAACTTCACTTCCATGAAGCTTTTCTAATCACTCCAGTCCACATTCATCTTTCCTTTCAATTCTTCAACAGGCCCAACTACAGTTTTACAGGATACACTAGACCTTACATGTATAAGAGTTTTTTCCCTATATTTGGGCTTTCATCACAAGCCTTTAACATGTGTATATTTTGTATGTCCTATGCTGGTGGCAGAGTAAACTGTACAGCAAATATTTGTAATTGACAGACTTTAAGGTGGTCCCTTGACCTGCTATCAGCTCCCGACTAAGTAAGAGTGGG